TTCTTTATTTTGACTTTTATCTCTCCGTCATTTATTATCTATTAAAACCCCAAAGTATTTGAAACATTTAGCTTTTATTACTTATGAGTCAATTATGATGCTTTTTATTTGAACACTAGGTAATAGCACACTGATGGTTTTTTTTATAATTAATACTAAGTCGGGCTTGTGTTTAAAATTTTTAGAGATTCTATTGTTTCGATAACATTTATTTCATGATAATAACTGTTGTATTATAATAAATATGATAAAAAAATAATATTAAAGAGAAATATATTATATTTTGTAAAAATCGGCGTTTTTTGATATTTTTTTTTTTGGTTGAAAAATCGTGAAAAATAAAAGAGTGTTAAAAATATTTCGTATTAAGAAAATTCAAAAAATTAAAAAGAATAAAAAATAAGGTTAGAAAAATAATTATATCATCAGCGCAGGGAATTATTTTTTGATATTTTATAGTATTTTGTAGCCGCCATGTGATATTTTATTCATTATTTTATTGAAATGGTTGGCGGCAATACATCTTGCCTTACACCTCTTTTGACTCTGGAGGGGATTGAGTTTGTCCTATTTGGAACTTGGTAAACAAGTTATTAAAGAGCCTTTTAGTATTTTAATTATACTACTTTCTATACCGCATTTTCTAAGATATCCCATAGTATAGCAGGGTCGTAGCCAGGAATTTTCAGCTAGGGGGACCAGCTGCTTACTTGAGGTGGTATTTATTTAAAATAAAACGAATAATTAAGCATTCATATAAATTTTTTGAAAAATATATTAATGTAATTATGAATACAAAATAATACTATAATAGAATACAACGGTTTTTATTTTTAAATTTTTACATAAATGAATTAAAGGATAAATTTTATTGTATTTTTTTTCATAAGTCATAAATACTAAATTTTGCTTGTGTTGATTTTTCGTCGACTCTCTAGTGCTCGATAGAACTCTTTATTGTAGTGAAATAGGCCACACAAGAAGTCGTTGGTATCCTAATGATGATAGCTGCTGAGTAGCATTTATCCACTTCTTTAAATGCATGTTGATATTTTTTTTATACAATTTAGGATATTTTCAAAATTATGTGTTTCTTTAACTTCTGCAGCTAAAAATCCTTTATCGATTTTCATTTCATGATGTAACGTTTCCATATTTAAGTTTAATAATGATTCTAATAGGAATATTTTATCCGATATAAAATAATCAGGGTCAAATGGGGACAATGTATTAAAACATGATGGAAGATTATAGTCATCTTGTGTAAATCTATCTAAAATACGATCAACAAAAACAAAGTAATCAATAATTTCATAATTTCTTTTTAAAGAACTTCAATTGGAGTCTTTTTCACAATCAAATTGTAATTTGGTTTCGACTAAAAAATCTTAAAATTTATAGGCGTTTTAGGTATTTTGCTAAAAGTTTTTCAGTAATTCTAATCTAATCTAGTATCCACTAGATTAGTACCTACCTACTGTAGATACTTATTTAGTGGATCTGTTGTTATTATATCTCATAAATTATAATGGCTAATATAACATAATTTATAATGGCGCATTGAAATAAAAGACCAGAGGCTTCGATTGAATCATGAATGGAAACTTCTGAATTAAGTGTTCTATTAGAAAAGTGTAATAATACTTCATCAATAGCCTAAAAATTTATATAAATGATGAGAGAGGTTTTTAATTGACCAGTACACCTCCAGTCTAAAAGTCTCTAGACATGACCTGTATATTTACAGGATACTCTAAAATGTCTAAAAAATTATACAATGCATTGGATAAATTAAAAAATTAGAAATGATAATAATATTATACCAATTTTGAACCTCAAGATGAAACTTGTGGTTGTATAAAAGGAATTATTTTATTAAAAATTTTTTGTAGGATTTGCAATTCTCCATTTCGATCAGACATGACGTTTGCACCATCATATACCTGGCTTATTATATTCGTTGAATAAATATTTAACTCATTAAGTTGCTTTAAAATGGAATCATTAATGCTTTCCTTAGAAAGACACTGTAAATTAATAATTCCTATAAAATTTTCTTGAATTTCTCGCGAATAATGCCCAGGTTTTTACAATCTGATGTATCTTTTGCCTCACCAGCCTATACAAATATTAGTTATTTAAAGCACCATATCTTTCATAATAGATATTACTTCCCTTTTTATCTGGGATGATGTATATTGGGGATTTTGGGGTATTTCATAATTTTATTTAATCCAGGATCTTTTGGATGGTGTATGAAACATTGTTATTAATAGTCTAGAAGAATAAATTATGTTTCATCTTTTGCGCATCCGTAATTTTTGTTGAACCAATCCGACGAAAAGGTAGCTCCTATACGCTAGAAATAGCATCAAATTAAATATTGATTTAAGATAGTAAAAATTATATTATCACCTTCATTTTTAAAAATCTTCAATGCACAGTTATAAAAACAAAACAATAATAAAAATACTAATAATTGATTTTTAAAATCTTCAATGCACAGTTATAAAAACAAAACAATAATAAAAATACTAATAATTGACATACATATCTATATTCTATATAAAAATATATAATTATAAGAAGAGAAAATAAAAAAATTTAAAATAATATATTTAGGTATGGTCGGCCGGGCTTAATGACCCATATATGGATATGCAGTTGGATCGACAAATTTCAATTGATATTCTTTGTTGAAGGTAAAAGCCTAATTTTGGATCACCGTGATTAAACGTAGCCTTATTACGGTTAATTTGTTGGCTTACCAAAATTGTTGTTATCAGTATTTTTATCATAATTCTAAAATATTCACTGCTGTTTTAAATAACTGGTTATATTATAATAATAATATTGTAATTGAACCATAATAAATAAAATAATTATCATTGAAATAAGTACAATTTAAACGTGATTAAGCACCTATATAATGTCATACTCAAACACACATGAAAATGATAAAATATTTTCATGTTGATATATTATTGGATAAAAATAAAACAGGATATAAAGAAATTTACAAACTAGACATGTTTTTTGAATAAATATTTAAAATTTATTTTAAAAATATAATAAGAATATATATATATTTTTTTTTTTGGATGAGATGCTTTATTTAAATAACAAATTTCACAAATTTTTCATTTATGAACTATAGTTAAAAAAATATATATATAAAAACTAATAATATATTAAAAATGAATTAAAAAAGATATATGTAAAAAAGTGATAAAAAAAAATAATAAAATTTTTTAAAAAAAAGGGAACAAATCACCCTAGAGAAGAGTGAATGCTTAAAAAATTGGAGCTCGCGAAGGTAAAATCCTTCATTGGGGTCCCCTGAGATCTGCCTCATTTTTTTTCCTATAGTTTTGATGAAATTGAGAGCATCACTTCCGAACATGCCTAGGGTATTGGTAACAATTGGGATAAACACGGTATTAGTGAGGCAAGCATATTTGTTTTTTTTATTACAAAAAAATTTTTTTAATTTGGGGGGCCGGAAAAATTTATGGAAGCCAATTTTGGGGGTCAAAAATTTTTCCTGAGGGTCAGATTTGGGGGTCAAAAAACTTTTTTGAGGGGCCTGCCCCCCCCCTTTCCTCTCCGTGGTTCCCCCGTGGCTACGGCCCTGTATCGACATGATATATATCATAATTATCTTCAATCCAGAATTTACAAAATATATTAATCTCGATATAAAAAAAATAACACATGGTATGAATTTCATTGTACGATGTGCCGGAAGGTTTAATTATCAAACAAGACTAGTCGCTTCAACGCAATAAAATTTAAAAGTAATATATATACCAAATTAAATATCAATATGAATATTAATGTGTAGCCCAATCCTTAATCTTTAAAATAAAATTTGAATCAAAGCTGTATCTATAATAGTTTTTGATCTAGAGGAGTTTATGTCAAAGTTGATTTCCTGGCCCAGTTCTAACATGGTATGTTTCAACTGAACTGGCCATAAGATATTATATAAGAATTATATTATAAATTAAAAATTACAATAAATAATTAATATTAATCAATTTTGAGAGAAATTAGTTCGACAATAAAGGGTGATGGCCTGGCCAGTCATCAAACATGGCCATTTATCCTCTATATAATTTTTATTCTAACTATTACTATTTTAAACTAACCCTCACGCATAGGCGTAGCCAGGGGGGACTAGGGAAAATTCCCCCCCCCCTTCAGAAATATATCACTTTTCGTAAATATCATTTTAAACTAATAAAAAATACGTTCCTTAGTCCCCTCCCCACTCACTGTCTCTCAAAAATGTATGCATATATCTTCTTAAACAATAATGAAAGAAATAATGAGAGTTAATAATTTTTTAAACTTAAACTATTGACTATAATTTATATTTTTTAAAAAGATTTATATATAAATATATATAAAAAAAGTGATACTAAAAATGTATTTTAAAAAATGAAATATAAGCCATATATAAGTCATAAGACAAAAGTCAATTTTATATAATTACTATTAATAGAGCTATAAAAATACTAAGTAAAATAATATACAAATATGATTTTTTATAATTTTATATAGTGAATTATTTTAATTTATTTTTCTTAATAAAAGTAAAATTTAATTACAAAATTTAATAAAATTAATTTATAAATTTAATAAAAAATTAACATAACCTTCCCATTTTTTTTAAATTTCCTTCCAATATATTTTTAAAATATATTTTGCAATTTTTTGACCTAGCAACAAGCATTATATTTGTTTTAAGAATGATATGGACATCAGAAAATATCTTTTAAAGAATTTAAATGAAAAGGTAATTCTATATTAATTATAATAAACATTAATTTCCTATCATGATCATCATCGCAAGAAAATTGATTCAATTTCAAGTAAAAATAGGGTATCAGAAATATTATATAACAATCATGAAAATATATCAAAAAAGAAGGAAATTAGAATAAATTTAACAAGGATTGATATTTTATATTTATAATGAATTTATATATCTTTTAGTGATGTTGCTGGGAGATAATAATTTTCTAAATATAAGAGACCTTGATTCAAGTAAGAACTATTTGAATATTAACATAATAATTATTATTAGTTGTTATTGATTCTCAAAAAGATGATCAAATATTAGAGATTATGCTATAGAATGTGAGAAGTAATCCTATCATTCGGGTAGTCCCAATAGGTATTTTATTTTAATATCAATATGTAATTTGCATTTTTTTAAGTTAATGTTGTTGATGAAAGATCTGCAGTAAATCTTATACAGTCAAGAGTTCTATGGATAGTAAAATTTCTATTTTAAAAATATGTAAATAGTTTATTTAGGTACTTTACCATTTGACATAAATAATTATGTTTTATTGGATGTAGCCCCCAAAGACTTTAATATACTAGAGAGTATATATAGGCCACCCAATAATTATAAATTTCCTAGAGATCTTTCTAGAAGGAAATTAAAATTTCAATTTAATTGGTTTACCACTTGGCCTTGGTTGGCTTACTCACCTTCACAAAATGGGGCTTATTGTAAATATTGTGTTCTATTTGGACCAAAATATGCTGGTAAAGGTGAACAAAAATTAAAGCGACTTGTGAATTGCCCATATAGACGTTGGAAAGATGAAGGAGAGAATTTTGAAAATTATCAAAACAATTTATACCATAAAAATACACAAAATATTATATCATCTCTTAGAGCAATTAATGCTAATGATAGAGATTCTATCATTCATATAATAGGTAAACCATTAAAAATTATTATAAGAGAATTATTTATTTTTTATAAAGATCAAGGTAAAAAGAAAATAGCAAATGAAAATAGACGAAAAATATCTCCTATAATAGATGCAATAATTACATGTGGAAATCAATGTATGGCATTAAGAGGAGGTTGTATATTTAAGGATGATACAAATGAAAATGGGAACTTTAGAGCTATTCTCAGAAACCGAGCAATTGGAGATGATGAGCTCAGGATTAACTTGTTAAATGCACCGAAAAATGCTACGTATTTAAGCCCCACCATTCAAAATGAAATCATTGATTTGTGTAATGATTTAATATTAAGAAAGGTAGTTGCCAACATTAACAAGTTTCCATTCTTTTCAATCTTGGCAGATGAATCAACTGATATATCTGGCATAGAGCAAATGTCCTTGTGTGCTCGATATTTTTATTCTGAAAATGGTAAAATTTATATTTATTTTATATAAATTATTATCATTTATATAGATGAAGTTCAAATAAAAGAAGACTTTTTGCAATTTATTCCGATTCAAGATATGAGAGGTGAATGTCTTGCTAACACAATTGATGTTCATCTTAAAAAATTTAAAATTAATGTTAATTTTATGCGGGGACAAGGATATGATGGTGCCCTTGCTATGAATGGACATTTAAATGATGTTCAATCACATTTAATAAAAAAAATATCCTACTGCAATTTATGTACATTGTGCATCGCATTCCCTAAATTTAGCCATTTCTGATTGTTGCTCAATTCCCGTTATTCGTAGTACCATGGGTTTATTAAACTTTTATTTTAATTATAATCATATATTTAAAAAGGCACAATAGGCAAGGTATATGATATGTTCAAGTATCCAACTAATGTCCTCAAAAATATTCTGGCAAAGGAAGAATTTGGCAATAATCATCATAAACTTGTGAAAATGTGCCCTACAAGATGGATCCTACGACATGAATCGGTTGCAGTTTTTCTTGAATTAGTTGACCCGATAATTGTTGCATTGGAGGAAATATGTGGATGGACAGATACATCAGTGGTGGCAGAAGCCAATGGAATCTTGAAAGCGATTCAAGATCCTGAATTTTTATTGGTCATTAATTGCATTAACACTCTCTTCTGACACACAATATTATTATGCAGAGCCTTGCAAGGAGTGAACCAAGATATGGTTCAGGCATTGATCTTAGCTGAAGATGCATATAATGCTATTTTACAGATAAGAAAAAATGCTCATTGTGAATTTAGAACGATTTTTAACAAAGTTAAAAAAAAGTGCAATCTTATAATATGATAATAAGCATGCCAAGAATAGTATCAAGACAAGTACATAGGAATAATATTTTCTTACAATCAGTTGAGGAGTATTACAAAGTTATTATTTTTATACCACTTATGGACACTTTTTTAACTCAGATTAAAGAACGTTTATTAAACCATAAACTTTTGCTAAGTAACTTTCAAATTTTGTTATCCTCTAATCCATCTGTGAACAGTTCGGATGACATTAGAAATAAAATTCAGTATTTATATAATTTTTATTTGCAAGATATGGTAGGGACCGAATTAGAAGTAATAAGTGAATTTAAATATTGGTTTACCAATTTAAAATGAATGGATATAAAGCATGATAATGCATTAAATGCACTGAATATTTGTAAACACACACTAATTGAATTTCCGAACATAACAAAATTATTTCAAATTTTAGCATGCCTTCCAATTACGACATGTAAAAATGAAAGAACTTTCTCTAATTTAAGAAGACTAAAATACTACCTCGCAAAATAGATTAAATGGTTTAGCGCTATTAAATATTCATCGGGAATTAACACCAGATAATACTGAAATAATTAATGAATTATCAAATTCTAAAAGAAAATTAGATATATTATAAATTATTACCACGTTTTTGTATTATCTATCTTATGACATAACATAAATTAATACCACATTTTTGTGTGATCTATCTATATTAACAATCAAATAATAAAAATATATTTCATATTTCTTCCGGGCTTATTATTTGTTAAAAAAAATTTTAAATATACATAGGATTAATAACCCGGCCGAAGGTTGGGTAAAACGGGCCGAAGGCCCGCCCAAAAGGGGGTCTGGGGGCGAAGCCCCCAGAAATTTTGTAATTCCCCCCCCCCTAGGAAAATCCTGGCTACGCCTATGCCCTCACGAGATCAAAAACGCAATTTTTGAAAATAATGATGCTATATTGAATCTAAAAATACTCAAATATTTTTGATTTTTCTTATATAAAAACTAAATTTTAAAAAAGAGTTCGGTTTGGGTTCAGCAAAATATCGAGAGTTCGTGTTCTCAGTCCTGATTATGACTGCTATGAATATTATACTTGCTTCAATATTTATCAAGGGTCATTTTTTTTCTAAGAGTATTGGTGTTTGAAAATAATTGTATTAAAATTTATAAATAATAGTAATTTCTCACTTCAAAACATTGGTGGTTATATTTTAATTGAATAATATTAATTTCTCACTTCGAAAAAATTGGTAGCCAAATTTTAAATATACTCAGTTAATTTAAAGATTAATATCGAGAAAAGATTATACTTAACGGCTTTAGTAATTGTTGTAGCTGTTGATAAAAAGAAGAAATAAATTTAATATAATACATCAAATGCTAGTTATTTTCTGACAGGGGAATTAGTATTTCCTTGTGGATGGGAGAAAAACGAAATGATCACATGGGTTTTTGGTAAAGGAACAATAATTTAATTTATCTTATCTTATCAAGCACGTTGGTCATGGACCTGCCCAAAATGAGCGAACGTGAATTACTATAGAGGCCCTATCCTCCATAATTATGCCGATTTTTTCCTCAAGGATACCAACATACCTTGTAACCCAGATATAATTAATAAAGGTGTGGAACTCACCCAATCCAATAATAATATTAGCATAAGGAATAGTTATGAGTATTTTTGAGAAAGCGAGAACTGAAAAAAAAAAGAAAAAATAGTGGTACTGTATCATCCAATATAAATTATTAGTTTTTTTATTATTATAAAAATTATTTTTTTATTGTTGGTCCTTGAGCAAGGATCTTATTTAATAGGATTATTTTATTTCATTTAGTTAATTTATGATTTGTTCCCAATTATTTAGTTAGAAGATATAAAAAATTATATCTGGTTTTTATAATTATTTAGTTAAAAATACCTATCTATTTAACATATTTATACCTTAATTCTCATAGTGTAATGGTTAACCTATTTATAATTTTCTTACAATATGAAATAATTTAATCCGCCTTCATTTACTATAACCCTATTCAAATTAACTTCTACTCTTAGATATATATCAAAACAATTTATGAAATTGTATTTATAAATAATATAATAAATTTAACTTACTCTTCTTGACTTGTTTATTTAGAATAAATGACTTCCTTCACACTTCCTTACCACACAATAGTCTTTCAGGTATATTCTCAGCAATTATTCGTCAAATGTTCATAGATAAGTCTTAGTACCATTTTGTAAGTTTTCCTATCCGACGAAGCACGTTTTATGATTTCCCAAGATAGACCTATTTCCGATAATGATCGATTTATTCTACCAAACCAACTATTTTTATGGGATAGGAAAGGTTTGAGAGATGACTCAATAAAAAGGGCTTGATAAACAAGTTGTTTGGGGCTTGTCTGAGAATATGCCCTAATACTTCGATTTTTCTATATTCACCCAGTCTATATATAGGGAGGATGTCGCATCTGAAAGATTATAGTTCGTAGTATTATAAGGATAAAATGTTTTGGTTATATACCTAAGACATTTGTTAACGAAAGTTTGCATCTTTTTACTTTCTAATTTAGTATCTTTCCAGGTTTCTATACCATAGAATAAAGAGGGGAATATTAGAATTTTAAATAATCGAATCTTTAAAGGAATTGATATTTGATTCGAACTCCATATTTTCATTAAAGATCTATATTTCATTCTGCCTTTATTTAATTTAGCTATTAAGTCTAGTTTAGTAATTCCTTTTCTATCCAGTATCACTCCTAGATATTTTAATTGTTGAACTTCTACTATTTTCCCCCCTTGTATCGTTAGATTCATATTTGAAGGGGAGTATAATGATGTCATCAACTTAGTTTTATCAACATTTATTTTTAAACCAAAAAAACCAGCAGCTTGGATCACCATATCCACTAGCAATTGAAGGTGTGATACAGAATCTCCCATAATGCAAAGATCATCAGCAAATGCAAGGATATTAAATTTCGCAATAGGTATCTGAATCAAGCATTGTTTAGTCACTCTCTTTATGATATAATTTGTAATAAAATTAAAAAGAAGAGGAGAAAGGACACATCCCTGTTTCAGACCTATCTTAACTGGAATTTTTGATGATTTATGACCTGCATGGATAATTTAGATCGAGTAATCTTTATAGATATTTTTTAATATTTTTACCAAATAAGTTGGCGTATTAACTTCTTCTAAAGCTTTCCATAAACTATCTTGGATAATCGTATCAAAAGCTTTCCTAAA